TAACATTCAGTCTACATTGTTATGTAATGAGACATCACGATAACATTCTGTCTATGTTGTTATGTAATGGGACATTATGATAACATTCTGTCTATGTTGTTATGTAATGGGACATTATGATAACATTCAGTTTACATTGTTATGAAATGAGACGTTATGATAACATTCAGTTTATGTTGTTCTGTAATAAGACACATGATAACATTCAGTCTAAATTGTTAGGTAATAAGACGTTATGGTAACATTCTGTCTATGTTGTTATGTAATGATACATCATGATAACATTCTTTCATGTTGTTATGTAATGAAACATATTGATAACATTCAACCAACATTGTAACATAATGATTCATTATGATAAAGTTTTCTACAAAACAAATGGCATATTTCTATCAAACTGATGAGACAAAGAAACAGCTTTCTTGACACCAAACTTTTGCTGACTACATAGCATTGTCTCTAGAACTTCCACACACACATACAAAAATACTGTGAAAAAACAAAGCCAATTCAGGCTATCTGCCATGTCCACTGAAGGGAATTGAACCCCTGGTTTTAGCATTGTAAATCTGTAGACTTACTACTGCTCCACCCAGGAACTTTTTGTTTTGTAAAGTATGCTTCTATGAAATATATACCTATTAGCTCATGAATGATTTATACAAAATAAGAATCATTTACAGAATTTCCCTGGTTATTAAGTAAGACTTATATGTATTTGTTTTTCTGCAATAGTCATAACATAGTTAAATATTTAATAACTAATTAAATGTGAGTTACAGCTTTTAATTATTGTCAGTAGTGTCTAATGAAATGTTATTATTTTCACTAGTGACAAGATGATTGTGACTGAGTGGTAGGGCAAAATAAAACAATTTTAATTACCATTGCCATCTAAAGTTTAACCAACTTCAGTAAACAATCAATGCACACTTTTTTAGTTTATAACCATTAAAAGATTTTTAAATAAGACATTATACTGAGGAGGAAGACAAGAAAATAGATAGAAGACCAGAAATTGGAAAGTTCACTGCACATGCACAAGACTTGAGTTTTTGGAAGAAGGAATGATAGAATGCACATTTATACTACAAATTTTGTAACCTTCTAACAGGTGGAGATAGCGACCTTGAGGTATACTCTACTCCACGTTGTGATGGACGCTCCCTGCTGGTTGAATTAATGAACTCTTCAACTTTGCAAAATTTGTCTCCCCGATGGTTGTACCTGGTCTCTTCCCCTTTAATTAATATTTGAAAAATTCAGTTCAATAGTAAATACACCAAATTTTAAATAAACTATAAGGTTTTCTAACTTCAATCACTACAAAACTACTAACACTAATCTATAAAACTTGCTTCTTTGGATATATAATAGAATTACAGAACTGTGTTGATAGCAAACTGAAGTTAGTAAACTTATTTTTCTCGATTTGTTTTTTAAAGTCACCTGAGTATGTTTACATTTAAAGAAATAAACATTAATATTCATGGCACTAAAAGAGCTTTAAAAACCTGAAGAAGGAAGGTCTATTTTCTAAAGACACTCAAGTTATCAGCTTTCTCATTTTCTAAACATTAATATAGTACAGTTCAATAGCTATTTTTACAGCATTGTTTATAATTTTATCATTTCTGGTCCCTACAAATAAAATATTGGTTAAAATCATGAGATAATACCAGTTTCTGACCGCTTCCTTCCTAATGGTGAGAGATCCCTCGTGACCCATCTCTCCACAACATCACTAAACTCTTCCCCTGCCACAGGAGGACTAGAACTACTCCCCAATGAACTCAAGCTAATCCTGTCCAGTCCTCCAACACTGTTTCTGTTTCCTATCAACAGATAGGCTTTTATACACAATTTCTTCCATGTGATATATATGATCCAACACAATAGTAATATTCCACTGAATCTTACGCGTAATATTTTTGTTGAAAATAATTAAATACAGTCCATTCGATTTGTATTTCTAATTTAAAATGTTTAATTAATACAATAATTACAATTCTGGTTTAAAATGGTTAATTAATACTATGCGCATGAGTAGGAGTCAAAATGTACATGTCATAACCTTCTACAGATCACCATTCAACATGGCATTATGTATTTGATGTCAGAGGTATCAACTATTCATTTTATCCTACATTGCTGATTCACAAGATAAAATATACATGGATAAACTGTAGATATGCATTTAAGAGATTTGAGTTAACTTTACAATGAGCAAAAATATTCTTATTGTTCACATGAACTTCACTTTGCACTCTGACTTCTAAGAGTCTGACTACCAATTCACAACACATCTTGATTACAAATATTTTTGTAACAAAGCTGATTTTTTTGTGTACCACAGACTTGTATGTTTTACTAAGAGCTTGCTTCATGTTGTGTAGAAATGTAGTGAAGTCAAGTTAAAGAATAATGCCTGTAATTAAAAAGATCTGTTTACTTTACATTATGAAAGAGCTATACATTTCAACAGAATATAGATCTGGTGTTACCTTAGGTTGGGAATCGGCTGTTCTTTTGATGGTATGGACAACAGATACCAATAATAGTCTGTGGAACTGATATAAACCAAGGTTGGGAGGTATTTCAAATTACCTCATGAGAAATGTTACATATATACAAACTGTAAGATAAAGTAGGGATTTCTCTCATGAAGAATGTTACATAAAAAAATTGTCTGATAAAGTGGGATTCTTTCATGAGAAATGTTACATAAACTGTATGATAAAGTAGGGATTTCTCTCATGAAGAATGTTACATAAAAAAATTGTCTGATAAAGTGGGATTCTTTCATGAGAAATGTTACATAAACTGTATGATAAAGAGGGGATTCTCTCATGAGGAATGTTAATATTTTCTTACACTGAAAATGTATTTCTGATAGTTACTTACTTCCTCTCACATAAAGCTATCTCGATCCTCTAAGCATTGCTAAACAAATTTTTGCCACCAGTGCACCAGTCTTTATAACCCATCAGTTTTGTGCCATTTATGAACATGTACATATCATGTGACTACTCTGCACTAATAGTATTGTGCCATCTATACTGGCACAGCTAGCTCCCTCTGCTATTCCTTCTCAAACTTCACTTTTGAAAATTGGCAGGTATTAATATCAAAACACTGGCAGTGGGAAGGAAGGATGGGGAGTGTGTGAGTAGAGGTAAGTACCTATCAGAAATACATTTTCAGGGTAAGAAAATGTTAACTTCTGAAATGGGCTTACCTCCTCTCTAGAATCCCACATTGCAAAGGTGGAGGGGCCAGTTTAGGGACACAAATATCATACCAAGAGGAAAGTGACCACTTAGAATGAAGGGGTGTACTATGAGATGAAAATAAAGCACACCAATAAGGTACTTCTGGAACATATATGCTCTTCACCCAGGAAACAGGAAAGTAACACAAAATTGGTGGAATGGAAAAACAGGCACAACTGAATGCAGTAATAATACTCACAGCAGTGGACAAGTGATGAAAGGAGTATATGTTCTATTTGTCACAGGATTGTGCCTGATATGATATTAGTGTGAAATGGAATAACAACATGTAGCTAAGGGATAAGGACCAGGGTGATCTAGACCTGAAGACATAAGTGGATTAATGAAATTGTCTAGAGTGATCACCTGGGCAAAATAATCCAGGAGAAACTCCACAATGGCTATTTGTTTTGTTTTTTCAATTTATGAAGTTATTCTGTGAAGTGCGGTCCACCTGGACACAAACATCCAGGGGAAACGTACCTGAATTTATTATGTTATTTTGCTGAGTGTGGTACGCCTGGGTAAAGACATCCAAGGGAAGCACCTTTTATAAACTAAATAAGATATTTCCTCTAGTGCAGTCCATCTGGGCAAAAACATCCAGGGGAAACACATGATCAATTGAATAAAATACTTTGTTTAGAAGTAGTTTAATCAACTTCGCTCTCTTCTCACTGAATGGATAATCATGACTGTTGTCAAATAAATATTGAAACTCACTCAGGAGGAAGGATTCATGGTCCACCACCCCGGCAACTAGGAACGATCCACTAGAAGAAGGGGAGGGGAATGAGGTGGGGAGTCCAGAGGAACGTCACACCAGAGACTGTGCAATGGGTGTCTGCAATTCTCTATTTTGAAAAGCAGACTGACCCCGACATATGCAATCAAATGGTCAGCAGGGATGGGAAGAAATCCCTGTCTGCTTTAATTGTGAAGTCCATGAGTGACAGTCCATTATAGATTGAAATTGCTTGATATTGAGAACCTATATATACACACACACACACACACACACACATATATATATATATACACACACACACACACACCACTGAGTAAGTGGCAAGTGGTCTTACAGAAACACTCGATCTCTACAGGTAGCATTATATAGTTACTCTCAACTAGTGCAGGTTTGAAGCAAAGCATACCTGACCAGGCAAAACCCACCACAAGGTGGGATCAGTAAAGTAGGTGTTATGATTAGGGAAGCTGAAAAGAAAGGAAGTGATCAGACTTACCCCAGTCAAAGGCAAGCTGACATGTGTCTAATCATCAAGGGAAGTTGACGATATCCACTGCAGGAAGATACAGCCACGTCATGCAGATAATGAACGGTGAAGGTATCGGGAGTAGTCCACATTTTGGCCTGAACGATCTCTTCCAAAGGACATAAATTGGTGCAGTCAAGAACATAGTGATGTGATGAATCTGATGAGAAGAACAGTGTGGAGATGGTGACCTTCCATGGATAAATTCAAATAAGCTAACCTGATAAGTAACCAAACCCAACCAGTAAGCATGACAGGGAAGTGGAAAGGTTCAATGAAATAAAAGGTCAGGAACATGAAACAGTAAGTAGAGTGTCATATCTCCTTAAGGAGTTAACTAGACCAGGAAACTGATCAGGATCAGAATGGGAGAACAGGTGGAAAATGGAAGGTGAGGAAATGGGTGGAAAAGCCAAACCACCTAAAATGGCATCAAAGGTCCTAGGGAGGAAGGACCGGTCCAGATAGAGAATGGCATAGGAGGAATTGTTAAGGATGTGGGTAACATTAAAGGCATAAATATCTAAATGAAAACAACTGCAAGCAAGGAGAAAGAAATAGGTCCTGAGGGAGATGGAACAGGAAGACAAAGTACATGGCGGATGACAAAAGGGCATAATTGACAACATTGAGAATCCAATAGGTAATTCAAAAGAATGGAAAGGAGTGAAAGAATGGGGGAAGGCAAAACCAGATGAAAATTGGACAAACAGAAGGAGGTCAACAAAGCTACTCAATAGCTATACACGGACAAAGTGGACAAGTCTCTGTCAAATAATTGGAAAAGATTAGGGAAAGATGAGGAATAGCAGGGTGGGAAAGACATAATCCACACGGAAGAAACCAAAGTTGGAAGATACACGACTGTCTATGGCAAGTGCACATGGAAGAAGGTCTAATGGATCAGGAAAGGAAATATGCAACACATGTAGTCAGTCCCTGGACTGAGACAATGGACTTGAGAAAGACCAATGCGTGAAGACAGAGAGTGGTAACATCTGTGGAACGAGGATCCCCTTCTCAAGGAGAATCTTGTTAGGAGAAGATAATTGATCCATCACCAGATTCAGGGAGCCAAGAAAAAAGGAAAGTGAAGACCACAATGTGGTGACTGTGTGCTCAGAAAGGAGATCTAGGATCTAAAAGCATAGAGACCTGGAAATAGTACACCGTGGCTCAGTGATATAAGTGACCACTGTAGAGATGATGGAATGTACCATAACCACTATCTCCTGTAAGAAAGAAAGAAAGTTAGTCAAAGCTCGAGGAACTACTAAAGGTTTGAGAAATGTGATATGGAGAGAAGACTCCTTGATCGACCAGAGACTGGAAATCACCCAGGAGTAGAAGTAAGAAGCCCCAACCCTCTAAAGATGAGTACGTGAACAGATGTGAATCTGGACAAGGTGGAGTAAGCAGCACTCCCGCCGTCGTCCAGGCACTGTCTAACCACCAATTGTAGATTACAAGAAAAAAAAAGAGGTTTCTAGGATTACAAAATCAGGAAAAGGAGCCAAAGCCCAGCTTAGCCCTACAAATGGGAAATGAACCCATCAGTGATATAACAAATCAAATATTTCAAGTCCCACATTGATGAGAAATTAGTATGATAAAGCATATAGTTAACACTTATGAAAACAAATATAAAGCTAACAATGGACTGATAAACAACAAATGGACAAAACATTAAAATTTACCTAGTCCACAAGCATGTGATAGTAACAAACGTGCTAACTAACGAAAATTACCTAGAAAAACACATTAATAATCAATATCAGAGTTAATGTCATCAAAAGCAACCTAGATGACATGCTTATATATATATGAAATGGACAAACCATCTAAATTTACCGAGTTCACAAAGAATGTAATAATAATGAACGTGTAAACTGATGAAAATTACCTAGAAAACATATCAATAAACAATATCTGTCCTACAATTCCTCTAAATTAACTAGATGACAAAGAACACTTAATTAAGTCCTACACTGACAAAAATGGGGATGATAAGGTACATAGTGAACAATGACAAGAAGAAAAATTACTCAAGTAGGACAATAAATTAGATGTTACTAGTAGTAATGATACCTAACTGGTACACATTCTAAACATACCCAGATAAAGTGCTTATTAATAATAAACTAACAAAACTGTGACATTTGCCAAGTCTACAAGTACAAATTGTTAATGAATGGGCCAAATAATTAAATTTAACAAAAATATAAAGTAATAATCAACATCTAACTTACAATTCATCTAAAGTAACTCAGGTGACAAATGACACTCAATTGTCACACCATTGTTTAGATTCTTTGCCATTTCAATTTGTTCGCATGTATTTCTTGTTACCGAATTACAAGAAATCATAGTATGAATTTGCGAGTGATTACTTCCTAGGAATCGGGTTCGAGGTACTGAGGAGGTAAAGGCCTTAATTCGCAAACAGTTTGATTTATATATTTGTCCAGCGATTTCTTCTCTCATGTAACAATGTTCCTGAGGAAGAATATAAACAATGACTAGGCACATCGGACTCTCTTTTTCTGGCACCTTCCACCTTTTGCCGTGCCGCCCTGTCGTTATCTTTGGTGAAGAATTGTATTTATTCCCAGGGGATCTGTGGTAAGTTTTTCAACATATACACCTGGTTGATATATCATTGTAGACACAATTTAGATGCACTTTGTGTGGCTTTGCACTTACTTACACATGGGAGAATTATGTATTTTATGCATTAGTGCTCGGACTTGGGTAAGATAGATATTTACAAAAGTGAAGATTGAGCAGGAATAGCAGATGGAGTTAGCTGCACCAGTATAGATGGTGCAATACTATTGGTGGAGAGTAGTCACATGATATGCACATATTCAGAAATGGTGTGAAACTGACTGGGTAAAAAGACTGATGTGCTGGCAGCATAAATGTTTTGAGCAATTCTTAGAGGGCAAATAAGGATCAAGCTAGCTTTGTGTGAGAGAAGGTAAGACAGTTTTGGAAGTAACAAATACAAATCATATGATAAAGATGAGATTTTCTCATAAAGAGTGGATTCTCACATGAAGATTGTTAAATACACACATTACTGACCTCCCACAACAGTTCCATCATCAATGTCCGAGGTGTCACCATCAGAGAGATGACTAGAGACATTAGACAATGGGGACAGATGGTCAGCCAAGGTGCTGGATCCTGTATCTGTGTCAAGAAACGTGGCCTGTTGTCTCTGCAAGAACAAGATAAAGGCTTTAAATATTTTCATTTATAAGCCTTTTACTCATTAGTCTTACAAGCAATGTATGTGTCTGTAAGGTCTACAACAAACATCAGGCTACAACTGTTACTGTGACACACAAGGAAGCCTGTTTCAACTGCTAAACTACCTTAACATATTAGAAATGCTGTGTACAGCTTGCAAGAAACACAATGACAAGCTTCTCTTTAGATATGATTAAAGCCAGCATTTGAGTTGAGGCAGAACTTTTTTTTATCAAATCGTTCCTGTTGTTACATAACTCAAGCGGATTTGTGCAACATGGAACTGCTGTTCGCAAACTGGATATCAAACCTGATTGTTCCACTTGTTAATTTTTGACAACTCAAGCACTGATTAAAGCAATCAAATTTATCAGGATTTAAACAATAGAAGACTACTGTGTTTTGTGTTGTTGTTGGAATATTTTAATGCTGTGTTGCCATGTGCTTAGCAAAAATATTAAAAATGATTGAACCTGCAAATGTGTTTGTGAAAGTAGATGGTTGGTCTAATGAAACTATTGGTTTTGTTGTCACATTCATAAATACTGACAGATTTAATTTCTGGTACCTGAGTCAGTGTTACTTCAATGGATGTAGAATTATTTAAGTTCCAGATTGCTCTTCTGATTTCTTCAGAAAAGATGATAGTAAATTTTGGGAACACTGCATTGTAGGTTTGCCTAACTTGCAACTTGAACTCGATATATCCCATTTCTTTTAGTCAGTGTAAAACTGCAGTTGTCATTCAGTGTACTAGTGGTCACTTACAACAATTATCATCACTAGTTACAACTACTGTTAGAATACTGGATACAACTATTGGTAGAACACCGGCTAAAACTGTTGTTGGAATACTGGCTAAAACTATTGGTAGAACACCGGCTACAACTGTTGTTGGAATATTGGCTAAAACTATTGGTAGAACTCTGGCTACAACTGTTGTTAGAAAACTGGTTACAACTGTTGTTAGAACACTGGTTACAACTACTGTTAGAATACAAGCTACAACTATTGTTAGAACACTGGCTAAAACTATTGTTATAACACTGGCTACAACTGTTGTAAGAACACTGGCTACAACTATTGTTGAAACACTGGTTACAACTATTGTTAGAACACTGGCTACAACTATTGTTAGAACACTGGCTACAATTACTGTTAGAACACTGGCTACACCTATTGTTAGAACACTGGCTACAATTACTGTTAGAACACTGGCTACAACTATTGTTAGAACACTGGCTACAACTACTGTTAGAACACTGGCTACAATTACTGTTAGAACACTGGCTACAACTATTGTTAGAACACTGGCTACAACTACTGTTAGAACACTGGCTACAACTATTGTTAGAACACTGGTTACAATTACTGTTAGAACACTGGCTACAACTATTGTTAGAACACTGGCTAAAACTATTGTTAGACTGGTTATAACTATCCTTAGATCAATAGTTAAAATGATTCTTAGCAAGCTGAATATAACTATTATTAGGATACTGTTTGGGGAATTTACACAACCAAATCATACATGACATATTCTATTCCACTTTAGGCATAATAAACATATAACAAACTTTCCATTTTGTGTTTATTGTATAAAATTTTCATTTCTCTGAGAATTTATAGTCTCTATTTCCTAAATTACTGTTCTAGCTCTTATCTTCTGTGGGAAGTTACTATGTAGATTTGACAGCAGTGTTTGACAACATCATGTGGTTTTAGAAGAGCAGTGAGAGGCTGTGTCTAAATATAAGTTAATAATGAGGCAATTAAAACTTGAATTGGTTAAAATCTTGCATCTTATGAGTATTATATTTGTCTAATGGAATGCAGAAAAGAAAGCTTGATGGGTAGAGGAGAAACAGAAAAATAGACTTGTAAAAACATATGGATAGAGAGAAATCAACAACTGAAGACACATAATAAAAATCAGAATACTGACCAATTGAGCATTCACGCTGTCTTCATGTCTGACCAAGGAGTACCAGTGACCTTTATTGTCCAAAGTTATCAATGAAAGGTCAATCAAAACCTGTACATGATTACATAAAAACTGAGTATTAATCTATATTCTCAGGAACTAAAATACTTTAAACATAACTAGAATTGATCTATATTGTTACAAGCTGATCAGACCAGATGGAGCTACAAATTAAATTATATATATATATATATATATATCAATCTCGCTCAAATAACAAGTAGTATGCATTACAGTTTACCTCATGTAATTTCATGAAAGTAGAGTATAATAAATCTTCCTCTTATTAGTACAGTCCACCACATGGATCTATGCTGTGCATGCTGAATTATAAATATGATGCAGTAGCTAAGCCTTAACTTATAGTGGAAATTCAACCAAAAAATTGAACTATCACGTCTGATTGTTTGTTTGTCTGATTTTTTGCAAAGTTATTCAAGGACTATCTGTGCTAGCCATCCATAACTTTAAAAGTGATTAACTAGAGGGAAGGGAGATAGTCAACATCACCCATCACCAACTCTTGTCACACCAAACAGTGGGATTTGACAGTCACTCTTATAATGCACTAATGGTCCCAAAGTGTGAAACTTGATATTAAATTCTGGGTGGTACAGGATGTAAACCACAGAGCATCAGCTTAACAGTTGCACACACTAACCACTGAACCATGCTTAGCCCCACCAAGTCTGACAACTGTATGTTTTATAGGTGTGGTATATTGTGCTTTGAATTCTAATATCAATCAGTGAGGACTATATTTAAATACATAAGATTAGCTGGTAAGTTTTAACACATGACAAACATTGACTGCTTCGTGTTGCTATTTTGGTTACTGAATAAGCTAAGTTGTGTTCAAAAGTTATAAAAATACAATAGCATTAACTGTAAGTAAAAACATATGTTTAATTCAGACAGCTAAGCAGATCCATACCATCAACTGGGAAGAAAAAATGCTTCTCACCTCTCCTAAAAAGTCATTAGCACCATAACAGTCATAATCCCACACTCTAATCTGCAATGCCCTGGTTTTCAAATCCAGCTGCCTCAAGGGGGAATAGACGAATGTTTGGTTCCATCTAGGCTCATTGGTATTAGACAGCGTTTTGGTTCTCCTCTTGCTTTTCTCACTGAATGTACAAAGAATATAAAATAGCAGTAAAAAGTTTGTTTGTTTCACAATTGCTTGCAAGGCTACATAAATGATGTCTGCACATAATCATTCCTAATTTTTGAGCTGATAAACTGAGAAGGAATGCAGATAGTCAATAACACTCACCTTCAATTCTTGGACTACCAGTCAGACCAAATGAAGGAATATGACCATCACTAACAACTACAGGTCATGTCCATCTCCAACACTTAAATATCACTGATTAAAACTTTTCTGTTAATCTTTAAACAGTATTCAAGTTCAAGGATCATCCTGTCATTCGTTTTTAACCAAACAAACAAGGTACATTTTACTTCCCTGCTACCATCTATGAAACAGTTTTGTAAATAGTAGTTATAGTACAGTACTCGCAAAAATAATATATTCATACAGTCTGTGATAAATGAGTAAAAAAAAAAAAAGACATAATTCAGAGGTAAAATAATTTATTTTTGAAGACTGTGTAATTATAATAAGTTATAGTTCAATATGTTGGAAGTTAAAAGGAACATCCCTACCTTTTGTCAGGAAGAAGAAACACTTTGGCATAGGGGTTAGGCATAAGCTTACCCCTTCTGGTGGCCAACTCTGTAGCACAAATTATTGTTACAATGAGTTGTAAGGCCTGAAGGTTGTACCACAACTTGAGCTGAAACAAATCACCACATAATGCTCTAGCAGTTCTGTTTTCACAACTGACACAATAAAAATGTACTACACAAACAATATACACATATAAACTAAAACTAAGATGTATGGGATGACTTACTACACAAACAATATACACATATAAACTAAAACTAAGATGTGTGGGATGACTTACTACACAAAGAATATACACATATAAACTAAAACTAAGATGTATGGGATGACTTACTACACAAACAATATACACATATAAACTAAAACTAAGATGTATGCG